ATAAAGTCAATGTTTACTTTAATCAGCAATAAATCAATCATTACACCATATTTGATGACAGCTAATTAAAATCTAAAAAAAATTGGATGGCAGGAGGTCCTCAGTAATTTAATTTTTTGTTTTTTGAAAAAGTGATTGGAAGTTGTTGTTTGTTTCTTTTCAGCATCTCATAATATTCCTGTAGAGTTTCTAATGCTTTGGTTATCCTACAGGGTTAGTTTAATGGTGTGTTCTATTCAAGGATCATGTTTAGAGTTTTTATCTTTGTTTCATGCATCATTCGAAAGATTTGGACAAATTTCTGTAATCTTTGCATTCCTTGTTTTCATTCCTTTTCTTCAATTCCCCAATGGCCCTCAATTCATGTTTGCACTTCTTCGTCAAAATGTGTCAACAAATCTCCTCCACCAACTTCTCTTGTTGCGTCAGTGATTTTCTTAACTTTCATATCAATCTCCAAGGAGTCTTTATAATCAGTGATGTTTTGTCACTACATCCATTCTACCAGCAGCCATTTACAGTATCTGGTTTTAATTAATTCATTAAAGATTTACTGAATGTTATTGTATCTGTAATAGTAAATGTTTTCTAGCATAGAATCATGTCAATTTAAAGATTTGTATCAGTTGCTGTCTAAATGCAGCCAAATATTGTATGGGTGTATATGGCTTGGAAAATTAAATAATACCTTTCTCAAGAGGCTGAAGCAATGCTGACATATTCAGAGGTATCAAATCAACTTCAGCACTTTTATTTTTATAGAAAATATATTCAGGATGGCCAGGTACATTTTTATTATTAAAAGGAATTTAAATTTCAATCGTTCCTCTTCCAAGTATTTTTTCACTTCAGTGGTGAAGCCCTATTGATACCATTCTGTAAACAAAAATGCCATTACAGATACTTTTGATTATGTGGACAGAACACAGGCAGATCATTTTTACTCTTGTTTTTCTTTTTTTCTACCAGAATAAATAGTGATTTTGTTTTTTAGACTAAACTAAGTTTTATCTTATGACATACAACATTGCTACATTAATACCATATTTAATCTATTCTTCTATACCTTGTGCCCTGCTTTTCACATTTAAGGTCTTGCAGTTGAAGAGAGAAAAAATGTACTTCCCAGTACAGAGACTGAACTCATAACCTTTAGTCAACCAGCTAGAGTCTTTAGCTTTTAATGGAGATAATCACCCTTGTTGATTGGAATAAGGTCACATAGTAGAGCTCTAGAACAGCCAAAGCTTTTTTTCTCAAGTTTTGCATTATTTTGCCCAGTTAACTGAGCTTTTCTGCCACATGTGGGGAGTGGGATCAAATACAGTTTGGTTTAGTTTCTTGACAAAATCATTAAAAATTGTTAGGGATTAATATTTTTGTCCCTCAACCCAAAATTGGACATACAATTTTAAAGTTAGAAATTGCATTGAACAAGTAAGTTATTTTGTTGACTGTGGTGTTATTAGTACAAGTAAAGGCAATGTTATGGTGAATGGAAAGTATTTCTATGGATGGGTCAATGAGACCATCTAGGTTAAGATAGGACTAGTGAAGACCAGCCTTCTCCATCCCCAATCTTTGGACTTGTGCCACATTTGTAATTTTTTAGTATTAATTTTTTTTTTGTCTGTTTTCTGGAAAACAGAATTTAATCCAATTGCTGAAGTGGTCCATTGTTCTGGAAAAGAAGAAAAAACATGACTAGGAAGTTAAAACATGCAGAGACTATTACTTAATTTAAATTACAGGTCTTTTTGTAAATTCTCTTCCAAAAATGGCTGCTTCAGCAGTTTCTTAATCAGCAAATTCAACCTCACCAGTAATTTTTACAGTATCATGAAATTCCTTGTTGAAATCTTCATGGTTGGACTAGATTCTGATTTAATATTGTATAATTCATAAACAGTAAAGTAAAACTGGGTTTCTCTTAACTTTGGTCTCAATGAAAATGTAGCAATTGTCCATCTTAGTCTTATTTTCTATTCCACCATCCTCTACCTTTTTTTTACACTTTGTCTAACTCCCACTTTATTAACACTGAAAAAGCCCCCCTCCCACCTTTATTCTTCTTTTATAATCACAACTCTTACCCACAATCCCTCACTGGTTATGTTTGCTACCACATTTATTTATTCACTCACCCTACTCTTACACTTTTTCCAGCTCATTCACCTCAATTCTTTGGTTACAGATAAGTAAGATTTTTTCTTTTTCAAATTAAATACATCAATTGGAACATGTTTTCTGTTCCACCCACAAATTTACTACTTTTTTTTATTTTTTATGATACATTTTTTTTTTCATGCTCCATGGCCATTAGTTGTTCGGGATGAAATGGTTACATTGGCCCAGATTTCTTTTTCCATAATAATTTCATGAATCAAAGATTTCTTTTTAAATTTTTGCAGCTTCTTCATAGAACTTTTTTCACTTACTAAGTCAAGAATTTTTAATTTTTCATATAATGGAAGCATTTTATGGCTTTTTTCTCTGGTATATGAGAAATGTTGGCATCACTACTCTTGTACTTTGTAGACATAAAAATATCTCTTTCTGTTTTTTGTTAAGACAAACAGTAGCATAGTGATACAGTAATAGTTTGGAATGAGCACTTTTACAACACAAAAAGCCAATTTGGAATGCAACTGTCACCACTGAGAAATAGATTTGATTTGGCTAACCAATTGTCAAAATGAAATGAATTAGACAAAACCATTTCAGTAATCACTGGCTTATTCTCTCAAGATCTAATTACTCAGAGTTTGATAGTTTGAAGGCCAATTAAACTGAGCATTTTAAAAATATTTTTAAGATGCTAATGTTATTATTAAAAACTTATCTGATTTTTTTTTCTTTCTATTTTATTCATTTGATACTAATTTTAAAAATGAGTTTTAGTTTAATAAAAATTTTGAAAACCAATGTTTTATTGAGTGGCTCAACTGCAGTTAAATTAAACCATGGTTGGAAATTTTGCAAACAACACTGTATTAAGAAAACACAAAATGGACCCTTTTTTAGCACAATAACAAATTACATTACATTTATATGACAATCTATAGGACATAGTTAATATTTAAAAAAAATAATAACCAAATGCCCATTCTACGAACAGAGGAAACAAGTTGTCATAGATGTTATCTTACCTCTCTAAAGTTTTTGTATAAACAACATTTTTAGAAAGTTTTTTATTTTCTAAAGTTGTTTGTTATTATACTAAGTCCTATTCTGGACATAGCTACATGAAGCAAACCATGAGATAAACATTTTTTTAATGTTTATATTAATAATATTAATAATAGTAATAATTAAATCAGAAAACTTATATTTTCACTTGTTTAAATAATTCAGCAGTGATTTAAGAAATTTAATTAAACAGAATATTTTTACTTCTTTGGATAATTCCATAAATTTTCTTTTTGGCTCTGTTCAACCAATTTGTAGTAATGTGAAATATCAGATGATAAAAATAATTATTATGAACAATTTACAATTGAATTTTGACAAGACATATAATTTTTTCTCTACAAACACAAAGAATTTTAAAAAAAAGTTTTTAAAAGTTTTTTTCAAATTTGATTTAAAAAAATAAATAACACCTGAAATATTTATTAAAATATGTTTTTAAATTTTTTTATACAAATTTCCATCATTTTAGTAATATATATATATATGAAAGAGTGATAGTAAATCCTTTATATGTTAGCAGTATGGGTGTGGCTGCTTTGTGCTACTGATGTAAGGGATACACAGACAAAAATTTAACCTTACATGAATTTATAAAAGATAATGTACCTATGTATAAATTTTTTCTTCATCCCAAACAAGATAATAAAAGCCATGAGGTTACTGAACAGGAAAAATACAGAGGACAAAAGACAGTATTGATGCATATAAATATTTAAAGATCGTAGTTGACAGGAAAGTAGGAATCTGGAAGAGAGTTCCATAACAAGAAGTGCAAGAGAAAAAACAATTAGCATAAAACTTATGGTTACAACTAGCAATTTCAAGAGTAAAATTTTGAGACCTAGTTACCAATCTAGAACTGCACTTAAATTTGTGATGTTAAGGTAACAACAAGGAAAACTCCTCAGAATATTTACCATGAAAATATTTATAGAAGAGCTAAAGGGAAATTATATTATGGCAATGCAGAAAGTGAATACAAAGAGGTTGTCTCTTGTAATCAAAGCTATCATGTAGGTATAGCTAGAAAAAGTGATTACTGTGGATTATAGCAGCTGAACGTTGCAGGTGTGAATCAAAGAGAAGATTGTGGTTGTATCTGGTATTTATAAACACAAAATTCTCAATGTCTGCTTTCAATCGGCTAGCAAGAAGAAACTTTTTAAATTTAAAATTTTATTTGCTTTCCTGTATTACTTCATGGATTTTTGCTTCCATCCATCGCTGTAAATCTGAATATTTCTTTCTGGTTCCCAATGTATTTTAGACTTATTTTTTGTTTAATATTGAATCTAATACCACACCATTTCCCTGTCAGGGCCTTAGTGGAAATGGATATTATAAATTAGGAGGTATCAGAAAAAATGCACCTTGGACAATTGCCCCCATAGGACAATTAATCCCTAGACAATTGCCCCCATTAAGAGAAATTTAAGGGAAATCACACTTTGGTGGTCGTGTTGGGAGATTAATAAATCCTAATAAAACTAATTAGGCTTTTATTTTCATGTTTTATCAATAAGAAGAATTATTCAATAATAAGATTTATTTTTTTATATCATGATAATTATACAATTAAAATTGCTAATTGTGGCATATACATAAATACAATAATTACATCATAAAAAAGGCTTCCTTTTACCACGTTCACTTTGGATAAACTCCATGGTGGGATGATATAAAAAAGAGTTGTAGATGCATTGTGATCAGTTCAAATACTAAAATCAGACTGGTTGTTGGCATGTTGCTACAATAGGTTGTCAATGCAGAGTTAATTTGACCTCCCATAAGAAAGTCTTGGTTAGTGCATGAGTTTTTCTTTTGACCACCCCCTCTCCTCCCACCACCTCTCGCCTCCATGTGGAATAGATTTCCTTGGTTGGATATAACAAAGAAAAATAACACCTGTTGAGTTTTTTCATTTTTCTCACTTCATTAGAGCTTGACAAAACTTATTTTTAAAGTTAAAACTTTATATAGTCACCATTTTTTTCATTTGTTTTCCTATAATCAAAAATAGTTACTTGCTAATGCTAGCTCTTGTTCATGTAATTTTGTTTTTAAGATAATATTCATCCAATGGGGGCAACCAATGTTACTTCTCCCCCACTTCTCCTAGTGAACTTTTGTTGTAATGTAATCAAAGAGTGTGTTGAGATTGGGGGGAACACCTAACCGATTACTCTCCCACCAACCAAGAGAGCAGAGAGGGGAAAGAGATGGGAGGTAACAGAAATGACACTGCCTTGGAAGCGACAGAAATTTTAGGAACAAAATGCCCATTGGATTGACTTCACAAGACACCATGTCTTGCGGACTGCCAGTTTTCCCCAGAGCTTTTACTGGCATGAGGCATCTTACAAAGACCCAGATCTTGACCATTTGCAGAGAGGCCCATATCTAGACATGCCAAGCTCTCCCACTGCTAATGGGGAAAACCTGGATGTTACTGGTATTGATAAACATGTTCACACATGATAAAAATGCCTCTTGTGCCACAGCCTTTTAATCCTTATATGAGAGCGAACTTGTCTTGGTACCTGAAGTCTCAGCCCAGTACGATATTGCCTCACTTTCTGGGTAGACAATATTTGTGCACTTAGGGTATCACAATTGTATCTTTTTTTCATGGATTATTTGTTCTTTCATTAAGGGTAAATATTTTTTGGGTTTAGGCATTATCCACCTGATATTCATGGATCCAAACCTTGGAGTAACTTCAAAGGAGGCTATAGGATATTGGATCTATTTTACTGCCATTCTGTGAATGCATTCTGGACTATGCATTAGTCTCTGATGGGGTATCTCAATCCGATGATGAAGAATACTGTTAGAGCTGCACCCCTGGACAATTCAATCCAGGTTGTTGATGTCTGCACTTCTTGTGGGTGTGACTGTCTCATTCCCAAGTCTTCACCTGAAGACACTCTAATTTCTAACCATGATCACAACAAAATCTGATGAATCAAACCCAACCCCACAAAAACAAATGTAGGCCCCAGATTCACCATCTCCTACATCAATGTGAGAGGTCTATGTTCCAACTTTTCAGAGGTGGAATTCCATCTTCTCAATGCCAAACCTGACCTCTTATTCCTGTCTGAAAATGGTATCGATCAATCAATCTATCCGAGTGCAGGAAATTACAATCCCAAGTAACACACTCTTAATATTAAAACATTACATCATAATTGCCATGGCCACAGTCTTTGCATCTATATTAAGGATAGGTTCCTGTTGTGGAAGAGACCCCCAAAATGGGCACACTGATCTCCTGCATATATGCTTCCATATGGCCCTTGTTCTTCTTTCATTCTCAGTATGACAGAACTGTAATGTCCAATGAAATAACTGAAATGATTGATAAAATCTTCTCTGAGTATTTCTAAGCTAGCTTTCATATGTTTGGTGACTTCAATATTCACTACAAAGAGGGGGTAGTCCACTTGAACAATATTGATGAAAAAGGCAGATACTGCCAAAACTTCTCCTCCATCTACAAAGTATCACAGATCATTGAAGAGCCTACCCATGTTCCTGATCCATTGTTACCTTCCCTGGGCACTTCAAAGCATTCACTAGTCAGGGTTAAAGTTGATGACAAATCTAAAGGCATACCATGATATGCCATTCCATAGAACAATTTTTTGGTACATGAAAATCAACAGCTTCAGATCTGAGCAGAAGCCTCTTTCTTGGACTCCAAAACTGCTTTCCACATCTCTAAATAGATATTTTTTGGAATAGTTTTATAATTGAGAAAACTTTTACCAAAACTGAATAGCCAGTTTTGGTTCACTCCTGAACGTACTGCAGCCATAGCTCATCATAACCACTACTACAATATCTATCACAGGAACCAATAGTGTAGTAGGACATTTTCTACATTCATAAAATGCAAAAACTGTAGCTATGCACAAGCAGCCCAGACCAAGGTCAAAAGCTGCAACTTGAATCCCAGGAATTTTGGAAAATCTCCAACTAAATTTTCAATTGATGCAAAGTGTCAGTGCCAATCATCATAAATTGCTCTCAGGTTATCTTATCCACATTAGATAAGGCAAAGCTCTTTGCTACGATCTTTTCCTCTAAATTAGATAACAGAAGCCATTCTCTTCTTGAGTTTCTCCTTCTAACAGAGCACAGGCATAATATTTTTATCAGAGCCCAGGAAGTCTCAAGACTTATCAAAAGAATATTAACTCTGAGTTACCTCCACTCTTAGCAAAACTATTTAACTGCTGCTTGAAGGAGAAAACCTTCCAAAATCAGTGTAAAGTGCAATGCCCCTTTTCAAGAATGCAGATGATCATTAGATATTTTGAAGGCCTTTGACAAGGTGTTGCATAAGAGGTTGCTGTACAAGCTCTCCAGTTATGGCATCACCAGCAGAAACTTCTCAATTATCAAGGCCTTCCTAATGAGTAGGTCCCTGAAGATTGTTGTTAAAGACCAGTTCTCTGAGTCCAAAATGATCAATGCATGCATCTCTCAAGGTTTGCTTCTTGGTTCAACTTTCTACTTTATATTAATAATCTGCCTAGAGTATCATCCAATCTTTTGTGGATACCTATGCTGATGAGGCAACCGTATATGGGTGCATCTCTAAAATTCTAGAGCTGATTTCTCTTTTGACCTAGCTTTAAAAGCTCATTGGGAAGGAAAAGTTGCTGATTACATAGATGGCTTGAAAAATCAAAATAGTGATGTTCATAATCACCAAGCAGACCCTGAAATTTTACCTATCACATTGAACAGGTGTTCTCTTGGAGAGACCCAGTGCCTATTGGGACTTAAGCTTACCATCCAAGGCCTAAAGTGGAACTAAGACATTTGATCTATTGATAAGGATGTTGAAAAAATAGCTGGTTCTCTGTATTGTTCCAGTAAGCCCCTGACTTCTCTTGATATTCTCTACTTTTACAAGAACCAGATCAAGCTGAAAATAGAGTGCTGCTGCTATATACAGGCAGGAGCTGCACAGTCTTCACTTTCAAGTCCAAATAGTCCAAATGATTCTATGCAGTCTTGTCAATGATGAATTTTTTCCACCCTAGAACCTCTTCCTCACAGATGAAAGGTCACAAGCCTGTCACTATCATTATTTCTATGTAAAGTGTTCAGACAAAAACTACATTCCTTAGTTCCACCAGTTCTAACCATCATGAGTACAACCCTGCCATACAACACACATTGTAGCAAGCCACCCTCATTCACTTCTGTTATAGTGGAACACACCTATTCTATAGTTAATAGACTCTCCCATCTATAATAAGTAGGAGTTGTAAGAGTAACAAGGGAGTCACTCAGTGGGTCGCTCAGTCAGTCGATGCCAGATGACCGTTAGTCAAATACTAAAGTATCAGCGGCCACAACTAGATTTCTCTGCGCCATTACCTATTATATCAAGTTCCTAACATTTTGTACGTCGAACCTATTTTAGGACCGACTTAGTACAAATACAAGCCTCCACTGTGAAACCACTCCATAACAACTTCATATACTATCAGTGAGATGTAAGTTCCACTCAAACAGCTTCTTCCCAATAACTACAATTTTGTGGAACCAGCTCCCAAGAGAATGCTTCTCTTATCACCACAATCTTAACCTGTTCAAGTCTAGAGTTAATTGTAATCTTCCCCACATATAAAGTGTGCTTTTTACCTCTTACTTTGTAACCCTCTACCTCGATTGGCTCTTGGGTCATGCACGGGGTGGACATTATTGTTAAAAAAAATAGATCATTTGTAATGGAGAAGGTATAAATTGTATTGAAGTATTTAAATCTGTGTGGATAAGATTTGAGCATTTATGCAAGCATATACTGTGTCCACAAAGAACTTTTTATGTTAACATGAAATATGCCTGCATTGCTCACTTAGGGCTTTAACAACTACTTTCAGGGACCCTACCCATTAGGAAGGCCTTGATATCTGAGAAGACTCTTCCAGTGATTATATAGCAAGAGAACTTGTACAGCGAACCCCTATTCCACACCTTGTCAAAGGTCTTCAAAATGTCTAATGCTCACCTGCATTCTTGAAAAGAGCGCATGCACTTTCCACCAACTTTTGAAGGATTTCTTGTTCAAGCAGCAGTTAAATAGTTTTGTTAAGATTGGAGATAACTCAGGGTTAATATTTTTAAGGACAGCCACTGTGATTTTATGTGGACTGCTAGCCTTCTTAGGGTCAAGACTTTTGATAAGTCTTGAGACTTCCCGGGCTCTGATAAAAATATTACTATGTTTGCGCTCTGTGAGAGGGAGAAAGTCAAGAAGAGAATGGTCTTTGTTATCTAATGTAGATTTAGAAGAAAAGATTGTAGCAAAGAGCTTTACCTTATCTGATGCAAGAAAAATTTAGTTGCCATCTCTTCTAAGTTTTTTCTGTAATGACTTTTTGAAATTGTCTAAAGACTTTGTGGATACCCTGTATATGAATTGTGTATGTGTGTTTGACAAAGCACAATCAGTAAACAAAAATGCTAGAAAAGGACAATTGTGTGATAAGATCTATCATCTTTCAAGTAGATGCTACTGAAAAATATTTGATTATTCAATATGGAATTGATTATATATAAAGCTTAATATTAGTACAGACAAACCTCTCATCAACGGACAAATAAGAGGGAGGGTGGTCCATTAAAGCTGATTGTCTGTAGATGGGAAGGGATTATTTTGGAGTTATAAAATGACGATAGTATCTACCAGTAGTTATGATCATAATGTAAATACTATAAACATGTATATATGGCATAAATAAATATATACTTAATATAGATATATTAATCAAAATAACAAAAATAATAGAGTTATCGCAGCTACTTTCTCATGCATGCGCTAATGTATAATACTTTATATACTGTACACTCATCTG